CTAGTATATTTTCCGGAAATGAAGGAATTGAATTAAGGGGACACAGAAACACACTGAGCATTGAAAAAGGTTGACAGCTGCGGCCACGTTGGGTAGCGTCGTTTTAGATTCCATTGTGGGTTCCCACCAGTGATGGCCGAAGTGAAGTACAACAACCAGGCGAGCCGAATGTGTGACACACTCGCTATTAACGTGGCATTCCGGGTCCTTTGAGATACTATTTAGTGTACATATTACTATTTTGTTTTGTATAATCGTAAAAGAGAACACACTATTTGCAGAAATACATGAGGGAAGTAGCTCCACAGAATGGTGCCTGGCAACTCGACCTTTAATATATGGTATACTCCCCGTGGAACTTAGAATGACAGTTGAATCCGATGTGGCGTAGAACGTTACCCTTTACAAGTGACTCACCCACATTTATTATCATAATTTTTACAAGCAGTAATAGTAGCAGCAGAAGCAGAACCAGTAGTAGTAGTAGTAGCAGCAGCAGCAACAGCAGCAGTAGTAGTAGTAGTAGTAGTAGTAGCAGCAGCAGCAGCAGTAGTAGTAGTAGTAGTAGCAGCAGCAGCAGTAGTAGTAGTAATAGTAATAGCAGCAGTAGTAGTAGTAGTAGCAGCAGCAGTAGTAGAAGTAGTAGTAGTAATAGCAGCAGCAGCAGTAGTAGTAGGAGTAGTAGTAGTAGTAGCAGCAGTAGTAGTAGTATAATTGTTCTTACTAAATGAATCCATATTTAAGACCCTAGTATAAAAACATTGGAACTACATGTATGATTAAGTTTTAAACCAAAATTACCATCTGAACGCTGGCGATTTCTTGTCGATGATGTTGCTAACTGATGAGAATAATCTCCCTGCCCAAGGACATGTCACCAACCGATTACTCAATACATGTCGAGATTCCAAGCTGCATAGTAGCACTCTTTCCTGACATGTATTGATTGAGAATGCCGATAACGAATATAACATGCTGTTCAGCCAAACATAATGCCTGGTTGTGGGAGTACGAACCAAGGAGGGCTAACATTAATAGCCGGGGCGTCCAGATAATGTTGGCTATCAGCCACACTGTTTTGTAGTCTGTGAGACGAGATAGGACCAGTGGTGAATTTGCTTTCGAGTAAGAATTTTTCTGTTGGACATGGTAACATTAGTGGTTGCTGGGTGTTTATTTTATAACACAATTTAAGGTAATTGATCAATGTCTATTGCTCAATTACCATTTATATTAAAAGGGTTAACAATGATAAATGGGAGAAATCGATGCATGATAAGAGGCAAAATAGGTTTGATTGTTACAAAGGGCAATGAAATGAATGTTTATTTCTGCTGAATACAGAAATGAAACCACTTCATAATTAGCAATTTGCATATATAAATACGATTCAGGTACCCAATATTCATAGACAAACGAACAAGCCTCTTGAATATATAAAGAGAATGTTTTAACTGTTTCATTCAGAATAGTCCAACAAACCAGAGAGTGTGAAAAAGAACTATGTAGTGCTGTAGTGTGGAGCTGGATGACACAACACTACTGAGTATGAATGTAATTACTTCCACTTCCACCACATGGATAGTTTTCCTTTACGTTTCACACATTTCTTACTGCAGACTGAATTGTGTGAAAGTATTTTTATAATGATCAATTGTTTTTAGCAAGAAAATATCGCATTGCTTCGATTATTTCCTAAAATTTTCGACTTTTTTCGTCACTTAAAGTTTCTTTCACGTTTTGTAAAAAAAACCTAATCAAAGTAAAATGAAACCTCACGAAATTCTGAGAAACTAATCGAAGCAATGATACAATAAGCGAAAACTCAAGTATTTTATGGAAACGTGAAGTAAGGAGAAAATACTTGAAATTTCGAGAAACTATTTGAAATAACGAGAAAATAATTGAAGCAACGAGAAAATATTCAAAGCAATTAGAGAAATTTCAAATATTTTATGATACAAAAGTGGCAGCATTGAGCTTTTGAAGAAATGCGCTTATTGGGTAGAAGTGAATAACGTGTAAAGCATAGTCAACAATATTCCAGCTTGATTAAGTCGTATGTATAAAATACCAGAGGCTGAAAGCACCAGCAACGATCTGCACCATTCAGTACAATGACATGCTGTAGGCCCGGTCAACCATCCCGACCACAGATGCTATTGATCAGTTTTTACCACATGGATAGCATACTTGTCTCCCATGCTGCACAGGGATTTGCATAGGCTTTTTTATATATTAAATGCACTTGTAACTTCAATACAGCCATACATGAGCCATGTATTTATTTAGAATTCCCACTTATTCGTCCAGCTAACTAAACTATCAGAATGACATTCTTTATAAAGTCATTCGGTGGAGAATATGGTGTGTTTTTGTTACTTTTGTTACAAAGTTGATAATTACCAAAAGCTGTAAATTTAACACTGACTGACTGAGTTTGGTTTTACGCCGCTTTTAGCAATATTCCAGCAACATCACGGCGGGGGACACCAGAAATGGGCTTCACACATTGTACCCATGTGGGGATTCGAACCCGGGTTTTCGGTGTGACGAACCAACGCTTTAACCACTAGGCTACCCCACCGTCCCTGTAAATTTAACAAGGCGTTGAAAACGTAATGACCTTATATTACTGGCTCTGTTGTTTTAACAGTTCATAGTTTCTTAAAGCATCTGAAGAAGACATCATCAACATGATCGATGCAATATCCAAAGAAATGTCAAAGACTGCTTTTCACAGAATCTGTAGATGCATCACGCAAAGTTTAGATAAAAAAAATGTACTTTGAAAAAGTTCTTATTCAATAATTTTTAAAATATATTCTTCATTGCTGTTGATCAAAACACTGGAAATTTAACATGAAAGAGATTTTTTCTTATGTTGCAACAGGCCTGCCACAAAAATGTAGAACTTTAAATGAGATCAGAATTCAGTGTTCCGTATGCCTCCAAAATGGAAAATGGAAATACAATTTTATGTTGAATCTTGGATCAGACTGTCAAGAATGTGGAGACAAAATAATACACCTTATGCAGGTCCTTATCATGTTACTTTAGACATTTGTGAAACCAGCATTAATAAAGTGGTAATGAAGTGCTAATCACAACTCTTGACATTATATCATGCTGTCATCCTACAATGTCACATCATCTTCAGGGAGCATTGCTGCTGTAAAAAGTGGCAGAACATTTCCTTTCAGTCGAGCAATACTCCAGCAGTTCCAGCCTTTGATGTGTACATTTCCCAACTTTGGGGGTGTAATCAAGCATGGTCTTCCTACAAAGATTTCAAAGAGAGTCATGCTACTTTTGCTCAAAAGTTGTTTGATCTGCATTATAACATTCCTAGCTTCAGTGAAGGTTGTAAAAAAAATCTGGTCGACATGTGGAGGACATTTCCAAATTTGACAGTAATGTCGGATGCAATTCCGTTTTGATGTGTACCATGTTCTGATCTCTTCAACATTTTTTGTGTGTGCTTCTTATGGGTGCCATGGGTGGGCTGGGTAATAATATTGATTCATTAACATGTTTATGACATAGTCGGAATTAGAAAATGGACTTTGCAGACGTCTTCTGATTAAGGATAAGGTTTTGTTTTGTGGCTAAACTTTAGAGAAATAAAATGTGACTCCAGTAATAGATCTTTCTTTGAAATATATTGAACTTCTCTAAAGTATAAATGTTAAACAATGACTCTTACATAACACAGCTTTGACATATCCAAACAATAATATAATACCTTCCCTGTTATTTCTAATTCTGTGTTTTGGGGTGATTCCATGTTAACATGTTCAAGGTGAATCTGTCTGCAAGAATGATTTATAAATTTAAAGTCAAACAAGCAACAAATGTGAGCAAGAAGAGAACACAACCAACAATCAACCGGGACAAGGGTATATACCACAGACGTCATATAAAGAAGTTGACATCGATCAATTCTCACCTTTTAACAGAGCATATGTTTCTCTTGTGTGACATATAACTTACAGGACACCATTGATATGTATGTGTGACAGTTATACATCATAATCATCTCACTGTGGAAATACTATTATGATATTGTCAATTAAGTGAGATTGTTCAAGTAAAACAATAACACAGACATGAAATAACAATTTATGAACATGTTCTTTTATTTTTGGAAGTAAAATCTCAATATATGTATCAATGGATATAACAAGCCAACAGTCTTCATACAGATCTCATCAAGACCCTCACAGTAGCCAGACAACAACATTCATACAGATCTCATCAAGACCCTCACAGTAGCCAAACAACATTCATACAGATCTCATCAAGACCCTCACAGTAGCCAGACAACAATATTCATACAGACCTCATCAACACCCTCACAGTAGCCAGACAACAACATTCATACAGATCTCACCAACACCCTCACAGTAGCCAGACAACAACATTCATACAGATCTCACCAAGACCTCCACAGCAGCCAGACAACAACATTCGTACAGATCTCATCAAGACCCTCACAGTAGCCAGACAACAACATTCATACAGATCTCATCAACACCCTCACAGTAGCCAGACAACAACATTCATACAGATCTCATCAACACCCTCACAGCTGCTAAACAACAACATTCATACAGATCTCATTGAGACTCTTACAGTAGACAGACAAAAAGCCTTGTGCAAATGGAATTGCAGGTTAACAAATGTAGCAAGATGCGTTCCCTTTATCTCGTCACTGAAGGATTCATTGAAGTAGCCAGACAACAACATTCGTACAGATCTCATCAACACCCTCACAGTAGCCAGACAACAATATTCATGCAGACCTCATCAAGACCCTCACAGTAGCCAGACAACAACATTCGTACAGATCTCATCAAGACCCTCACAGTAGCCAGACAACAACATTCATACAGATCTCATCAACACCCTCACAGTAGCCAGACAGCAACATTTATACAGATCTCATCAACACCCTCACAGTAGCCAGACAGCAACATTCATACAGATCTCATCAAGACCCTCACAGTAGCCAGACAACAACATTCATACAGATCTCATCAACACCCTCACAGTAGCCAGACAACAACATTGATACAGATCTCATCAAAACCCTCACAGTAGCCAGAAAACAACATTCGTACAGATCTCATCAACACCCTCATAGTAGCCAGATTACAATATTTACACCAACCTCAGCAAGACCCCCACAGTAGCCAGACAACAACATTCATACAGATCTCACCAAGACCCCCACAGTAGCCAGACAACAACATTCGTACAGATCTCATCAAGACCCCCACAGCAGCCAGACAACAACATTCGTACAGATCTCACCAAGACCCCACAGTAGCCAGACAACAACATTCATACAGATCTCATCAACACCCTCACAGTAGCCAGACAACAACATTCATACAGATCTCATCAACACCCTCACAGCTGCTAAACAACAACATTCATACAGATCTCATTGAGACTCTTACAGTAGACAGACAAAAAGCCTTGTGCAAATGGAATTGCAGGTTAACAAATGTAGCAAGATGCGTTCCCTTTATCTCGTCACTGAAGGATTCATTGAAGTTCATGCACAAACTTGTATAGAATCTACACTGCCTTGTTTTGGATTTCATCCTTCGGTCAGATGCCATGGGAAACCATAACTGTTACATTTAATATGTATTTATTGCATCATTTGTTGGCAGTTGTTATCAGAATTGCAGACATTATGACGAGACAACACTTCCCAGAAAAATGTTCCAAGTCATGTCATCTACAGTGAAACCCTAAAGATCTGGACAGTAACATTCTTGGTGAAATGTCCAGATTAAACATATTTCCAGATATGGAATAAGGTCTTTTTGCACTTATGTCCAATTTCTGCAGCATTCATCATCCAGTTTCTGGACCAACTGGGACTGAACTTGTAAGATTTCACTGTACAGACATTTGATGCAAGCAAACAAAGGGCATCTTTCAGTAATGGAAGAGATAGTTGCATTTCACTCTTGACCAACAACAAGGGGACACAGGTCAAACACATGTCTCCAACATCACAATGGCCATGACAGTTACATGACACAACTAGTAAGGCATCAGGACTTGTTGACATTGGCAGAGATGACGCCCCCTGAATTGATGTTCAGGACTGAAGGGTCGAAGGGCTGGCCCTTGAAGGGTGAACCTTCAGCATCCCATGCTTTCCGGAGCATTTCATGCTGTTTCTGTGAACAATAAATACATTGACAGCCATTACATCATTAAATATTCTCATTTTCAAAAACTCGAAAACTTACCAAACCAAATGGTTTTGATGTGACCAGGGTTAAAAAACTGTATTTAAAATAAAACACATGACAATTATCACTGTTGACAAGTCAGCTCGAAACAGGTTTCTATTTACTTCAATACTGACAAAAAATACAGGAACTGATAAAGTGATAGTGAAATGTCATTAATGAGAATGTATGTTGACATTTGCCGAATGTCAAATATCTCAAATATTAGCTTAGATTGTTTAGAAAATGTGGACACAGCTTGGGGTAGCTTTGCAGGGAGAACAGTGCACAATACCACAGACAACCATACATAAGTTAAAAAACAGTATTACATCAAAGTGGACTGAGTGAGTGAGTTTAGTTTTACGCCGCACTCAGCAATATTCCAGCTATATGGGTGCAGTCTGTAAATAATCAAGTCTGGACCAGGCAATCCAGTGATCAACAGCATGAACAGAGATCTGCGCAATTGGGAACCGATGACATGAGTCAACCAAGTCAGCGAGCCTGACCACCCGATCCTGTTTGTCGACGCTTACGACAAGCATAGTCGCCTTTCGTGGCAAGCATGGGTTGCTGAAGACCTATTCTACCCCGGATCTTCACGGGTCCCAAGCATGGTGGACACACCAGACATTGATCTTCAGAAATACATTATTTGAAATTCAAAAATTTCCAGGGCACGTTAAATAGAAATAATTCATCTTAACTTTGAAGCAGTGACTTGTAATTCAATGAGCCATTCCAGCAAAATAATAAATCCCCCCTCAGACTATCCTCACCTGTTCATGTGATTGTGGAAGTCCTAGGCGTTTCTGCTGCTCATTGAACATCATCTCACCGATCTTGGCCTGGGCTTCATCATCAAGATCAGTCATAGGACGACTGCAGTCAATGTTACGAACGTTAATCTTAGGCTCGTCCTCTAAAGCTGATTCCCACCATCTTTCTTCTCGTTTTTCTAAACTGACCTGAAAAACATCCAGAGAAAATAAATACTTAGTTAGAAAGTTAAAGAAAGCTATTGAAAGATAAAAAGACCTGCAAAAGTGTTTTTAACTGAAGTCACTTCAATTGAAAAAATTGGACATCATTTGTTGGTTGCTTGGTTTGATTGTTTTACTGCCGCGCAGCTTTTTGTAAATAATCAAGTCTGGACCAGACATTCCAGTGATTAACATCATAAGCTTTGCTCTATGCAATTGGGATATTGATGGCGTGTCAACCAAATCAGCGGGTCTGACCATGTGACCCCATTTGTTGCCTCTTATAACAAGCATGGGCAGCTGGAGACCAATTCTAACCCTGAGTTTCATATCGACCTGCCATCTGATATTTTTATCTTGAAAATGAACCACTATTGTGGATATTGTATACACACTGTAATTTCAGAGCACTCATCCTATAGATTTGTCCTCAGATTTTCAAACAGATGGATTGAATTAAAAGACATACTTTAAATAGTGCACCCTCTTATCATCTGTGCAATCTGACTTACATGTACATGTTCTGCAGGGACCAAACTCCACATACATTCCTCCTTGTTGACATCCCAGGTTAGATTACCATCTATGACTGTCTGAGACACACCCTTGTCGTCCGCGGTAACACACTCGCAGGTGTCGTTTCTCAACGGTTACTTCAACCTGCTTTCCTTTCTTAATGTATGGCGGCACCTTTAGCAATGAAGATTGAGGGTTATAAAAATAACTAGTTTACAAATAGGCAGGTACCTTACTCTAATGTACCATCATACAAATCTAGACACATTTATGGCATTTCAAAGACCTTTTCATGGTAATTATTACACTCTTAATGCTTTAATATCTTGCCCATAAATCAGCCTTTAAAAGTTTAAGTATTATTCATCAATTGATCAAGAGACTAATATTCCTCTACATGACCTCATCAGGCAATAGTAATGAAAAAACAAGTTAAGAATTGTCGCCAAATGCCAACCATTTACATTCTGCTTGTTTTGTTTGTTTGTTGTTTAACGGCAGTCTGTAAATAATCCAGTCTGGACCAGACAATCATGCAGTCAACAGCATGAGCATCTATCTATGCAATGGGGATACAATGACATTTTGCCGTCCACAAAGTCAGTGAGCCTGACGATACGGACCTGTAAACCATGGTAATTGCCTCTTACTACAAGCAGGGATTGCTGAAGGCTAATTCTAACCCGCATCTGCATGGGTAGAAAACCATTTACAGGCTACACCATAGGTAGAACATTGTTAAGTGTAGTTTTGGAGAAAAAAAATCCACGAAATATGAGTACTGTTTCCACTTACAAAGATTCGAATGTCAACATCTGATATTGACTGTGACCAGACATACTTTTCCCTCACAGCCCCATTGTAGCTCAGCGGGTCATTCTGGAATGCCTGCTGCTGCCTGTAATTGACCATCAAGGGAACATTATGCTCAAATGTACAGGCCAATCTCTCAAGATGACGTATATAACAATACATTTGTGAAAGAAATATTATAATGTGTTTACTTGAACACACTGTGCATGCTCTCTCCCACAGAGTGGCTCTCTCTCCTTTTGAAAACCTTTTGAGTATACTAGACCAACCATTTCCATCCATACTCACCTTAGGCAAGTGAGTTTGTTCAAAATTGTCTCTGTTCACCAAACAGAAAAATGGGTACCCGGAGTGATAAGTCATGTGACTATAACCTGCTAGTGCCTAACAGGCAGATTGGGTTATCCGGCGTAATAATGTTGTGCTGTTTGAACATGCCCCTTTATGGTGTGGAGTATTGCGTGGTATAAGTACCCTCATTATTATTATTATTATTATCAATATAGAACATCATGCGCCGTACATATATGCTGCCATAAGTCAGGCTTATCATGCTTAGATCACAAGACATTTTACTAGCCTCAGGCTCCTGACTAGTGGTCAAAGACACAAATTGTGCTTGGGTTGCACAATCCACAGGGTAGTGAAAAACGAACAAGAATGAACACTTTAGCTGATCATGTTTGTTAAACAGGGAAATAAATCATGAACTTCTAGCACAGGCCTCTCTAGTATGGAATTGCTAATTATTTTCATTAAACACTATGAACCTACTTGGATGCCCTTGTGTTTTCATCTTCATCCTTGTTCTGACTTGGTGGAGCCTTCACATCACCAGCACCACCTGTGGAGGGGACGGTGGTTGTGCTGGCAGTAGTTGCTGTTGTTGTTTGTGGTGTGGATGTGGCAGCAGGAGTGTTAGTCTTGGATGTGGTTGTTGATGACACCTGCTGCTGTTCTGAAGTCTTCATCTCACTGATCCCTGGTGGATGTGTTGGTGCTTCTTTTGAAGAATAAAATATACACACAATTGAAGATACACAGTGAACTGGAAGTTAACACAGTTTTAGCCGGTAGCACTGACATGAAGAGACCTGAAAGTTGGCTGAAAAGTTGTGATCAACAGGTAAACCATAAAGCTTGAAAATAGATGAATATATTGCAACTGACTCTGTGGCATTTGATAGGCAAATCAATGTAACCAATCACAGTTTCATTCAATATATGTTTCCATAAACAGAAATATATATTAGCCCCCACCTACTTAAAGACTACTGTTTCCTGAGAATAAAACATGTAGGGCTTGGGTAGAATTATTGTGGTGATCAAATTGACAATGTCACAGATTTAATATTGCTGTCAACAGTTCTTTGTGTGTTGGTGATTTTGCAAGCTGTCTGTGAAGTTATTGTGTTTACATATTTATCTAGATAAGAATTGGTCTCATTACTTTAATGGGACAGGTGTAAGCAACAAGTGTCTACGGTCAAAGGGAGATAACTCTAACCCCTGGAAGTGGATAATGGATATGGCCACATGAGTCTGGATCTTGAATAGACAAGATGTGTTGTATGAGCTGTATTAAACTATTGTCTTACACAGTGAGATTAAAAAAAGACCCTGGGGTTGGTGTGGGTGTGTACCACACCTCTGGATTCACCAGTGTAAATTGCATTGGATCAAAGGTGTGAGTTTAAGTGATACCACATGGTAAGTATGGGAACTGGGAAGACAGACCAAAAACCACATTAGATGTTGAACCTCCGTTAGAATCCTCAATCTGCAGATCCAGGCACATTTTGAAATGCAAAACTGCACAAGGAATTGTGACTCCTTGGACCACTGGGCAACCTAGGGCAGGGCAATAGTTCCCTTTCGCCAACCCCTTACCTGCCCTTTTCTTCTCTCTTTCCATCTCGTCCCTCTGGGCGAATGCTTCGTACTTCTTGAATTCCTGACAAACATTGACATGGAACAAACAGCTGGATTAAAAGCACTTCACATGATCATGATTACTGCGAACAGAAACAAATTCATTTAAACACTAGCTTATATTAAGATGGGAAAAGGGTGTCAAATTCAATTTCAAATGAAATACATTTCTGCTTTGACAAATTTCGTCATGTTTACATTGCTTTTAAACGCTTTGTTATGTCAATTAACATTGTTATTGGTCAACTTAAACACTTTTTACAAACATGAAATACTGCTTTCCAGTTTAGTTGTGTAAAGGGGAAAAGAATGAATGAAGATTGTTATTATGATTGCAGGAGAACAACTACACCATGTACACAGGATGTTAATCATATTATCCAATATACATCCACATAGATACAGAATGCATAGAGCTGTGTTTAACACCACAATGACATTTAGGGTAACATGGCATGTCAGTGTAATTAAGTGCATTATCTGATTATATGCTGACCTTCAATAACAGTTTAGCAGCAGTTCCTGGTGGAAATCCAAGCTTGTCATTTTTGCTCTTCATGATGCGGAAAAAGTCTGTCCTGTAAGAAGAGATGATGAATGTTGTATCGTCATTAATCTGCATATTATTAATGAATGAATGCACTTTAACATACACCAATAAAAGATAATATTTATCAAGACTAAAATGTTACACTACAAAAAACAATCCCTGCCCCATTTTGTGGAAAAATGAGAGGCGAACAGATTCTATGGTTACACCTTATTTGAATAAAAAAGGTTGAGGATAGTTTGGTCTCGGTGTGCTTGAATATGAACCCGTCTGACAAACTGGCTCTGATGTACACGCTGAACAGCCTCAACATGCTCAATGCTTGCATAATCATGATAATGTCTGGCATTCAATCAACAGAAATTGACATATTTATACTGGTGAAATTGCATCAAACAGGCTTATCACATGAAACTATGTAACTATACAACATATTCTCTACAACTATAGAAGAATAAATGTCATACGTAAGTAGGTTCTGTCATCACAAATGATCACCAAACGAGCCTTGGTTAAGTCTTTGAGAGGTCTGAGTTTGACAGACTGAGACTCGTTACAGCTGATTTATGCCAGACAGTTGTACATCACGAGGTGATAAAGCAGCTAAGCAAAGTTCTAACCTTCTGTATAGGAATCCTATAACGACATCTAGGAAATTGGTAATTTCGCCTTCATTCGACAATATTCCAAGAAGCGTTGAATCGTATGTGTCGCGTACGCTTGCCATGATCGTATTTGTCCGTTTGTTTACAGCGTTCTCGTGGCGGAAGTCGTGTTGCAGTCTCGCGAGGAAACGATAACTTGCGAGAGTATTGACATGGGAATAGTGATATGAAACAGACAATTAAAGGCATTTGAATGAAAGATTACAAGCCATATATTAGTTTAGGATATATATATAGACCGGCATTTACACCGGTAAACGTGAAATTACTGGTCATAATCCGGTAACCAGGATGCACCATTCTACATGGCCGCGCCCATTGGAGTCAATCATGGCGCTTCCTATTCGGTATATCTTTGCTATCGCATCATTGGGATTGCTGTCCGCTGGCATATACGACTACCTAAAGAACTTTGAAGAAAATGGATGTGAAATGACATGGATGTTTGAATATCCTAAATATATTGTGCGTGTTTAGTATCTTTAGTTTTCTGAAATAAAAGACGAGCCAGTTCGCTCCGAAATTCAAATGATATTTAGACCCATTGCTTACTGGTCGACCCTGTGACATTATCACCTTATTCACCCCAAACATAAATGAACGAGATATAACAGAACTACCGATTGATTATCGGATTAAGATCGAGTGCACCTTGCACTGTCAAAAGAGGTCTACCGGAAAAGATCCGGATAAGAATTAACTGATCTTCAGCGTAAGCCATGCTTGTCGTAAGAGGCGACTAACGGGATCGGATGGTCAGGCTCGCTGATATGATTGACACATGTCATCTTATCTCAACTGCATAGATCAATGCTCATGCTGTTGATCACTGAATTGTCTGGTCCAGACTCAATTATTTACGGACCAACGACATACGATATGTAGCTGGAATATTGCTGAGTGCAGCGTTAAGTGAAAAAACCCAAATCAATTAATTATTCAATCAAAATAGGCGTGACATCTCCATATGAGCAAGTTTTTTAGGGTCTATACAATAGCCTAGATATAGACGTTGTACTAAGTGCTTGGTAAACAATTATGGCAATGTCTCCTCTGATTGTAATTAGCATGCAAATAAATTGCTAGACTGACATATAAGTTTCAGTTTGCAGACCTGTAAACTTTTTAAAATGGGATTGTCATGGACTTGTTAGAAACATTCCTTAAGGATCCTTGTGGGTGGGCACCCCTTTCCAATCAAACACCTCATTTCCTCCAGGGCTGTGGTAATTTTGTAACCCAAACAAGTTTGTAACTGTCAAAGTGACATTATCCCATGTCAGCTTTTCATAGCACCAGCAAGTGCCAACAGGCTGTACATCATACTGCATGGCACTACCTGATGCAGATTTATGTTTTTAGTGTGAAATGATTTCTAAAGACTAGAAATAAAGTCTAGTTCTAGTAGATGGATACAAGTGCAACCTGTGTGTTATAATGCAACATGACTAAAAATTCCAAAATAAATGTTTCTTCAGCTTTTAGGTAGTTTGCAGAATAAATCATATAGTGAATGAATGGTTGATTTTATGAATGTGAATGGACTGATTTTGTCATGATAAAGAATAAAATATGCAATTTCAACATCATCTGTTGTGTCTTGTCATCCCTACATGCTGAATGGACTGGTCCACTCTCATCAACTTCTTGATTGGCATTTTCATAATGTTGTTACATGAACTGGTTAGAAATATAGAAACAGGTTTCAGTTCAGTAAATGTTATCTATTTAACAAAAAAGTTACACCAAAACGAATATCAGGTTTTCAAAACTGCATAAGGGTTTAGTTGGTTTTTGGAGTTACAAAATTACATACACTACTTTTAAGTTTCTAAACTTTGATGGGTAGTATAGTTAGGTACCATGTTACAATCTGGAGGGTTAGTTGTATGTGTTAGCTGTCACCTCTTTTAATGAATTAATCAAGGATAATTTGAGGAAAGTCAGTACAATATATATTTAATGTCATGGTTACAGCACATGTGCACCAAGGTTACAATTGTGTGCTCAACTTATGGTAAATGAGAGCTGTAATTACTTGTAATGGCACCTGTTGTCCTGTGGTAAAATTAATCAGATTAAATTATTAAAAGGGAGCGGGAAGGGGTTTGGATTATAGATGTTAACCTCTGTATTATGAGGAACATGAAATTTTAGAGTATTTATCAGGTGAATAATGAAGGTGTAAGAGTATACTCTGAACCATTGTATTCCTCATAATATAGAAGTTGTCATCCATTATTTGTTCCCTCTTATGATTTTAGTTCTGAGTGCCATTCAAAGATATTAACTGGTTGTATCCCATTACCCCTACATCCCATTGCCCATTACTCATTAGAGAATACCTTAGCTTGAAGCTGGCAGCATGATTTAAATATTCTGTGCAGCCAATCTGAAATTAAAAGCTCTGGTCCAGGTGGAAGGCACTATGGCACAAACAATGCTGTGATATGTAAATGGTGGAAAGAGTAGGACACAACATTCTCAGACTTCTCAGTAATATCAGAATGTCACCAAATTAGCTCTTCATTATGCAATGAACATCATTTCAAAATCTTAGATGGCAGTGATGAAACACCTCCAAACATGTTTTATGAGGAATATTATGAAATGTTTTCATGGTAACATTCACACAGAGTATTAATTCCGTTAAAACCGTTTTTTGACATCATCATCAAGTCTCGGTGCTGTCTTGTCCTGATAGCCTAGCCATCAAGTGCACATTCCAAGTGGTGCTGAATCCCCAAACAGGGTTAGTTTACTGAATACCTCGAGAATGACAACACTCAAACCCAGCAACCACAACATTAGTATACTCCTACACCAAAAACATATATAAATTAAAGCTTTCGTGGATTATCCACTTCTTTATTCAGGCGATGCACCATTTTCAGTACAGATTCTTGTATTTCTGTCAAGCAGGAGTCGATAGAAATGTCGCATCACCTGAACAATGCAGTTCTTCATCCATCCATAAAGTTTGTCCCTATCTATACCCTTTTAATTCAGATCAATGGATCAGTGGTCTAGTGATTAAAGCGTTAGCTCATCACGCCAAAGACCCAAGTTTGATTCCCCCTCGTGGGTACAATGTGTGAAGCCCATTTCTTGAGTCCCCTGCCATGATATTGCTGGAATATTGCTAAAAGTGGTGTAAAATTAAACTCACTCACATACACTAACTGAAACTGACTAAAATATTTGTTGAATAGCAATATAAATATTACCTTTAAAACACAAAATGTTTTCATTTCAGTCAGTGCCAGAAGTGTTTGAATCTGTCAGCTGAATTTGTCCAGTGCAATCATTTCAGACGATTATGATGTTTATACGTATGATATATCAGATGTTATTAGCAATTCGACTTGACTTTCACATCAAACTAGTCAGTATATAAATTTAATCACTGGAGATTTCCACACCTTGGCTGGTCAGGTAGATGACTCCAGAATCATGGTCACTGGTCAGAATTAGGGCTGTAACGATGAATCAAACTATCGATCCATTGCAATTGTTGAGTCTCCGATAGCAATTAATCGATAGTAGAAACGAAAAACTATCGATGCATCGATAGTATGTGTGACTATCGATAGTTTAGTAATTGACTTCCGATAATAAACGTGCAGTGCAATACAGGAAGTACCAAATTCGTTCACTTTGATTTAGAGTGCAGACTTGCAGCTTCACTGAGTTTATGTTTTAACTGTTTACCTGATCTGGGTTTCAAGTTTCTTGTCAGCTATTAAATTGACTGAAACTACTTTAACCTGTTTTTATTTCGTATACACATTTGGGAAATGACTTCAAATGAGACAATTCAAGGAGAAAAAACTATTGCAATAGTATTGCAATAGTTGGTCACAATAGTATGTTGCAATAGACTATCACTATCGCAATAGTTGTTTCCCCCTCAATAGTCACCCCAAGTCAAAATTGCATAAGTGTCGGACTGTCATCAATTGTTTTACCATTTCTCTAGAAAACAAGTTATAAAAATGAAAAATATGGTTAAGAAAATCTTTGCAACTACAGTGTAAAGAATTAGACTAATGTTTTGTAACAGGGTGATTTCAATCAAACATCCACAAAAAGTCCCCTTCCCCCAAACACCCTAAAAGAAAATATAAACAATAAACTAACCAATTAAAACAAATAAATAATGCTTTGTTTCAGTTTGACATTGTGCGATAGTTTAACATTGTGCTTCCATATGAAAGTTAGATTTACCGTTAACATACTTAAATTATTTTCACAGAAAATTCATATGGACGATAGAGTAGCACGCAGATTTCCTCAGTATAGGCTTCACATATATGGAGAGGGGTAAGGCACTGAAGTTTACCTGTGCAGGATACCCAATCGTGAATGAAATAATCTGAACTCAAAACATTTAAGTGACAATTTTCACATATCTGTATAAAGTTATGTGACTCTTTGTGTTATATGTTGATCTATTAAATCGCTATACATGTAGTTTTATAGTACTGTGTAATGGAAGGTATTGCTGTGCCTTCTTTTTCTATTGAAACTTCTGTTAAGTAAAATGCAGATTTTACTGAGAGACATGCTGGAAATTATTTACTAGATCCTTTGCCATGGAAGTTATTGCAGTTGCTTGAATTTGGTTTTCTGTTAAATGAAATATGTCACTTAGCATCCACAGAAGGAAGGATGTCACAGCATATCATGAAATGGATCCTATTCAGTCTTCTTTAATTTCTTGTTGAATTATGTTTCAGAGAATATGCAAGAAAAGTTAGGTAAGTGTTAAGAGTAGTGATGGCTTCCATGCTTGAGACAAAATCTAAATTGTTAATGCATTAATTTCTATAATGTTGTTTTATTGATGAACAAAATATTGTAGCATTTGAAGGATTTAAATTAACACAATGATGAAAATAACATGTTTCCTTAAACACTGTAATTAGTTGTCCTATTGCATGTATTGCAGCGTCTTGCATGAAAGAAGTCAACAACTGACTGTTGTGATCACCATTGCTTCCATTGTATTCCTTACCATTCTTCCTTTTCTCAGTTCCTTGAAGCTAACTGGCATTCCTGTTCTCTTCATTCCTGGAAATGCTGGTAGTTATCGCCAAGGTAATATCTTAAGTTCAACTTAGAACAATTTTGTTTACATTATTTCTTCAGCATATCAGCCAGATATCAGCCAAAAAAGCCCAAACCATTGTTTGCGGGACATTCTGCTTGTCTTGAAAATAAAATGTGTCGTGCAACAAGGAAACTGTTCAGTTGTTCTTTGTGTGATTGTATGGTTTCAAGGAGTAACCCAAACATAACAACCCATCAATGATCCATGTCTTCTGCATGCTTCTAGTGCGATCCTTGGCGTCAGTGGCACTCAGGAAGGCCGAGTCATCTCGCACAAAGTTTGAATTCAACTACTTCTCAGTAAATCTTAATGAGGTAAGCTTAACATATGATCACCAGCTTATCAAGCTATTTATCATCCAATATCTCAGAATAATTATAGAGCAATGCTTTAGCAGCTTTATGTGTATCTAAACATTTTCAAAACCAGTTAGTTACCTTGAACAGTGTTCTGTAGTTTGTCTTGAATGTGCATGGAACACTCTACTCTGTTACAAGAATACTCTACAAGCATAACTCATGTCTGTCTCAGTGATAGCATAGGATTTCCATAGTAAGGTTACAAAGTTATATCAGAAAATGCCTCTTTAATAGAGCATTGGTTGACAATATTTGTACAAGAAAAGGCAGATACTCTATACTAATGTGTTTTCACAGAGGATGGAACTGTCCATCTTCATTAGCCTTAGATGGAGATGGACCGCCTCCGTGGTGTAGTGGTTAGAGCGTCCGCCCAGAGAGCGGAAGGTCGCGGGTTCAATCCCCGACCGCGTCATACCAAAAAGACGTTAAAATATGGTACTTGTTGGTCCCTGCCTGGCGCTTGGCATTAATGGGTACAACAAGGACTGGTCGGCTCGGAGTCAGTATAATGTGTCTGAGTGGGGTATTCATGCTTCACTGCGGCATGGTATCTCATTCGGCTAGCACTATAAAACCAGCTTAAGTCTGGGCTAGTACAAGCAGCCGCACATACACATACACATGCATGCACGTCGTCATATGAGTGAAATATTCTCAAGCACGGCGTAAAACCCAATTTCACCTCACCTCAACTAGATGGAGATGAGAATTCCAGTTAGAATAGGTCTGATAGGCCTCATGTTTCAAGAGGCAATTATTTGCTTGAGGCATGTCATCATAAGCTGCATTCATAGTATCAATCACTTGGTTTTAAGGATCGAACTCGGTTATTTTCAGGCCAGCATTATCAAACAGGACAACAAATAGTAAAATAGTGTACTAGCCAAGTTTAGTCCAGCTGAGGTGATATTTTTTCCATGGTAACTGCATGCACTAAAATGTCCTCATTTATGTCAGAGTTGTACAGATATGTTTCATCATGATGGGTAGACTCAAAATGCACCTGTTCAGTGTAGAATACACTGTTGGATACATTGATGTGAGGCCTACTTGTCAGAAGGCATGATGATGTTGTTATTGATTCTGACCATGGTTCTATATGCTGCATGTTGTGTAATGTGTGTTACCCACAGGAGCTGGTTGGACTATTTGGGGGGCTGATTCAAGATCAAACAGGTAAAAAACCCTTCACTGCTTTCATAATATACATCTGTGGGCGATTAATTTATCGATTGCGCATTACACATGATAATTAAAGGCATATTTACCATGATAATCAGTGGCATATTTACCATGATAATCAACGGAAGATTTACCAGTGTTTGGAATATAGGTATAGTTTCAGTATGAATGAAACACTAACATTCACCTTCATTTTGGTCTGATACACAGTTTGGAACAATTAAAGCAAAGTTCATTTTGGATCAAAACAAACTGAAATCCAAATAATTAAAAGCTTTTTTGTTATTTTTTCAAGTCTGTCAACTCCATCACCCTTAAAGTGTGACTGTTGTTATTTCAACTTGTCATTGATGCATTGTTATGGGGCCATGGACAATTGTGATTCATCACTGGTTTTGTCATTACACCATTTGTCATTGTTGAATCTGTGTCATTCAGTTCTCAAATGAGACACTTAATGTTTAAAGTTTCAAGTACATGAACACTGATTGATAAGCTGGAAAACTGATCTGTTTTCAGCCACTGGTCTTCGAGACACACATCCTGCAAAAGGGTTTTGTTACACAGGATTACATTTTCAATCAATCACCATATTTTTCCCCTCTCTGTTGTTAGAATGAGGGTCAGCTGCCCTGTTCTGCAGGTAACTGAATGTTCTGAGCAGGTGTTGTTATTTTCAGAGTTTGTCCATGAGTGCATCAAGCTGATCCTGAGTTTCTATGCTGGAGCACCCAAACCCCCAACGTCTGTCATCCTGGTGGGACATTCCATGGTAAGAGGAGTCATTCTTTTGCTATATTTACTTCAATGTGAATGTCAAATATATTTATGAAGCTTGAATTTAGCTTTTGGGGAAAGAAGGGTTGCATTTTCTGATAACAAGTAAATGTGTAATTTGTGAAGCAGTTGGCTTTTGGTAGTGTTAAAAAAATGGGTAAGTTATGTGTTATGTGTTAACACCTACCATATCTGATCACATGTAAAATATCCAGTGCACTCTTCTGTCCATTCATGATATTATGTAAACCATCTTTCAGTAACCAATTGCTATATTCACATCCATCACGCCATCCATCAGTCATTCCTCAGTTTTTCCCAAACATTCATCATGTCCACTGATTGAACTATCCATCCTTACCACTATCAATACACCCACTCACCCACCCATCCATCCATCCATCCACCCACACACCCACTCATCTGTCCGTCCGTCCATCCATCCATCCATCCATCCATCCATCCATCCATCCATCCATCCATCCACCAATCCTTACAACACTTTTTCAATCTATTCTGCTTTACAGGGAGGACTAGTAGCTAGAGCCTTGTTCACCCTGCCTACATTTGACCCGAGACTGGTGACCACCATCATCACACAGGCCACCCCCCACCAGGCCCCAGGTGTGTGACCCCATGTGATGGGATATGTAGGATGTCAACTGACTTGCTAGTTACAGTATATATGGGAGGTTGGTTCTTAATGACAGGAGACGTCAAAAGGGCACAGGTGGTTAAATGGTCCAAGGTACAGCATTTGCGGTCCTTTACCATACCTGGAATATGCTATGGAAACACAACTTCCATTTTATCTCTATGTATATGAGGTGAGGTGAGGTGAAATTGGGCTTAACGTCGTGCTTGACAATATTTCGCTCACATGACGACGTGCATGCATGCGTGTGTATGTGTATGTGTGGCTGCTTGTACTAGCCCAGACTTAAGCTGGTTTTATAGTGCTAGCCCACTAAGATACCATGCTGCAGTGAAGCATGAATACCCCACTCAGAAACATTATACTGACTCCGAGTCGACCAGTCCTTGTTGTACCCAGTAATGCCGAGAGCCAGGCAGGGACCAACAAGTACCATATTTTAACGTCTTTTTGGTATGACGCGGTCGGGGATTGAACCTACGACCTTCCACTCTCCGGGCGGACGCTCTAACCACTACACCACGGAGGCAGTCTCTATGTTTATAAAGTATTCCTAGTTTGATTATTAGAAATATATGAATTGTTTACAATATTAATGGACTTTTGTCTATCAGTTCAAGAGTTGTCAATTTGTCTTGCATTTTTCTATGACTAGTACTATATTCTACAAATGTGAACATCTGACCGTAAGTTTGTGGAACATTTCTGAATTTTCAGCTATTGCCATTGATAGTCTGCTGAACAGTTTCTATGATGAGATCAACACATACTGGCGTCTCCATGCCAACAGTACTCTCCGTGACGTCACAGTCGTCAGTACAGGTGGCGGGTACAGAGACATCCTTGTCAGGAATGGCCTCACAACTCTCAAAGGGGTAGGATGCACATTTATTATGAACTGGAGTGTCAGCCAGAATGACTTTTAGTTTGATCACTGAATAGTTTTGTATTGCTGTGCTGAGTTGTGTCCCTTTAATATGATGAGATCTGCTGCTCATTGGTTTCAACCCAAAATGCACCCTTGTCATGAAGAACACTGGTGCAAGCAACTTTCAAGTTTTAACTTTTTCAATGCATTTATGAATTTGAACATATCCACTCACAATATACACCCACATACCAACCATCCATGCTTCAAGTAATCACACCTGTTTGTTGTTAATGTGCACTGACAGTTTCAACAGATTATAAACAAATCTATGCAAAGTGAATCTAATATGGCTGATGTCAATAATTCAAAGAAAATAAATGAAAAAAATAGTGATAAGTTTATTTTGGTGCATTAACTCTTTCAAACCCCTCTAACACTTGATTGCTTTATTTCCTGAAACTTGAATTAAATTTTTAAACATCCATCATATTGTAGTGTTGTCATATTTCCTAGTGGTCTTCCCAAGTTCTGTCCATTGGAGTTATCTTTCCCCCCTTGTCTCTCTTTAAGAATATGTAAGACTGTTCTGAACTTTTTACTTCTACCTCAAGATGGCCATGAGATCATCTTACTAGCTATCTGTGTCAGTGAATATCCAAATGGTTTAATGTTTGCATTTGCAGGTTGTGAGTCAGCACAGAGGAGTCAGTACATCAGTGAGTATATTCTGTTCCAGTTGATTCTGTTTATGTCCTCAAACCAAATTGTTTATCTACCGGTATTTTGTGTATAATCTGTAAAAACATCTGTCATGTTTGGCAAACTGTATGCAATGAGATTGCAATTGCTTGAGCTGAATAACAGCGAATTCCTATTCAATGCCCAATTCCTAACTGAAGTTCCAGTATTCTGTTGGAAGGTGAATAAGCCAACTTTCTGTAGGAAGTTGTGTCCCTTTGCTGGGAGGGTTTGCTGAGCGGAGGTCTGAATTCCCACACTCCTAGTTCAGGGCTGTGTTATTAGCAGGGTATGAAACTCCCCAAAACTTCAGCCAGACCACAGGGCTGGTTAGATGTAAAACTTGCCAGCCCTGAACAAAACTTACCTGCCCACAAAAAAATAATGAAATACATGTCTAAATTTTAACCTGACTGTCGGGCAGGTGAATTTGAGAATCTGGCAGTCCTTGTTGAATATAACCCATCCCGGGTGGTCTTGGTTGAAGATGTGGATGATTGTTCACAATCTCAGTCACTGGGTTGTCTGGTCATGACAAACATTGTGATATTACACAAACAGACAAACATTGAGGATGACACAAGTGTCTGTCTTGTGACTATTAGACATTGCGGAATCCAATGATTGATAGTGTAAATTCTACCTTTTCTCCAATTTGGATTCTCGATTGGGATATTCTTTGATTTAGATTCTTGATTTATCAGCTCAGTATCTTTGCTGATGGGTTTTGCCCAGCTGGTAAATGTCTAAGCCCTGTGTCACTTGGAGCTATTCCCTCATACTGTACTCTGTGACACACCACAATACGCTGTGCTACACCATGACACACTGTGATACACTGTGATACAGCACAATACGCTGTGCTACACCATGACACACTGTGATACACTGTGATACACCACAATATGCTGTGCTACACCATGACACACTGTGATACACTGTGATACAGCACAATACGCTGTGCTACACCATGACACACTGTGATACACTGTGATACAGCACAATACACTGTGCTACACCATGACACACTGTGATACACTGTGATACACTGTGATACAGCACAATACACTGTGCTACACCATGACACACTGTGATACACTGTGATACAGCACAATACACTGTGCTACACCATGACACACTGTGATACACTGTGATACAGCACAATACACTGTGCTACACCATGACACACTGTGATACACTGTGATACAGCACATATAGCTTCAGCTACACAGCCTCACTATGATACACTGTGATATTGCTTCAGCCCACCTCAATAGCTGTTCATGTGTGAGGTGTGATATTGCTTCAGCCCACCTCAATAGCTGTTCGTGTTTGTGGTAGTTTGCTAGTTGTATAGTGTTCCACATGGTAATAATGCTGTTTCTTCATTTAGACAATGTCGGTACCCAAGGCCTGGGTTTCAACAGATCATCTGTGTGCTGTATGGTAAGGATGATATTATCATGGGCACTGTCCATCTGTCCAGTTTTGTTTCCTTCGTATTAATCAAAGACCATTTCTTGATCAAAAGTTTACAAATAAAAGAACTGATATTGTTTGCTGATTATGTATCCCTTTGGGTTAAGTATTATTGTCTCATTAGAACAAGATCTGGGTTGGAATTGATCTTCAGCCACTCATGCTTGAAGTAACAGGCAACTGTTGATGTCTGGTGTGGTCAGGCTCTGCTGATGTGGTTGACACGTGTCGTTGTATCCTAACTGCATAAATCATTGCTCATGATACCAATCACTGGATTATCTGGTCCAAACTCAATTATTTACAGACAACCGTCATATGGCTGGAACATTGCTGAGAGTGGCATCAAATAACAAACAAACATTAGAATAAGTCCCAGACAGCTTTTGAGGCTAGGCACTTGGGTCCTCATCATCTTCTGGTTGAAAAGTTTAGTGAAGTTGATCATTCTTCTGCTTGATGTTTTCCAGGTGTAGACAAATGGTTCTGGTGACTAAGAGAGCCATGTTTGATATAATCGATCCTAATACACACCAGGTATGACACTGAATATGTCTATATAATTGTCAAGCTGATAAATAACATCAGTATTGGTCATACTTTCCTCCTATAAAGGCTTTAATCACACTTGCTGAGGTCACATTTGAGTAGTCTTGTCATGGTGATTGAATTAATGTCAAGCACTTCTGAGAACTGCAGGCTGCACCAATCTAGCGTACAAGAGATGGTAGCCTGTCTCGCAAAGATTTCTGTGACTAACTAAAACACCAAATTTTATCATAAAATGTTGAATTCTTTACTCACGATGGAATTTTATTATGATTGGTTTGTTGGTTTGTATTCAAGAGTTGACCTGATTGTGACCTTTGCCTGCACCATACCTGTGCTTGTGGGTTTCACTACAGTGAGTGAGTGTGTGAGTGAGTGAGTGAGTGCATGAGAGTGATTTTATGCTGCTTTTAGCAATATTCCAACAATATCACAGCAGTGGAAATGGGCTACACACACTGTACCTATGTGGAGAATCAAACCCCTTTAGCATGACAAGTTGATGGTTTTTACCACTGGGATACCCCACTTTGACCATTACACTGACATACATGCTGTGCTGGAGCTAAAAACTGCACAGAGGTCACTCACCTTTTTATGGGTAGTTTTTAAGTTACTAATATGTTTTTCTGTTCAGTTTAAGCATTAATCAAATTGTGACTGCCTCTGTTGCAGGTGACTACAGATGCTGACAGAAGGATGAGAGTGTTCCGACACCACTTCCTGACAAACTCAGGCAGTCAGAAACACCGGGAAAATATTCCAGGGGAGCTAACTCTTGATCCAAAGATTCCTTGGGAAGTCAAACAGAACAAATTGTTCAGATTCAGTGCTGAAAAAGTGAGAATATGTTATTATGAATCGCAGTAGGGACAGTATGTTATTGTGAAATGTTTGAAGTAGTAAAACATTGTGTCTTTGTTAAGATTGGGTGCTTTCAACACGTGCAACATTTGTCTTATTCCATGGTAAAACTCAGTTAAAAGAGTGTTCTTAGGGACACAAACTACTAAAATCATGTCACTAGATAAGTTTCTAATAGCTTTTGATAAGGGCTGCAAATGCTATGAAATTTGTCAACTGAGGATAATGAGTGGAACATTTAAAGGAAACAGTGCAATCTAAGAACTTTCGAGGTGATGCTATTTTCTCAGTTTTCTCGGTATGAAGAATGAAATATATTGTTGATCAGATGTCATCCACCAAGTATTTCGCTGTTCCTGTGATTCGGGAGACGGAAGAATCCGCAGTGGAGATAGACTCTGTCATCATCATGAGCAACATTGTAAGTCGTGTCAGCTGATTTATTGGTTTGCTTGTTTAACGCCGTATTCAGCAATATTCCAGCTATGTGGTGGTAGTCTGTAAACAATCAAGCATACGATGATATGTGTCAACAAGGTCAGCGAGCCTCAACACCCGATCCTGTTAGTCGCAGTTGTTGCTGAAGACCGATTCTAACCCAAATCTTCATGGGTAATGATGCAGTCAACACATTATGAGACACAGTCCAGTGATAAACAGCATCAACATTGATCTACCAAAGTGGGATGGCATTTGATAACCAAGTCGGCGAATCTGACCACACGATCCTGTTAGTCAACTTTTGCGATGTGTCAGCTAATTCCATAGATGGAGAAAATCCAGTTTGTTTACAAATTTTCTTTTGTCATATTCATTAGCAGACATGATGACTGCTTGATATGTGTCATTTCCAACAACAAATGTTTGTATTGTTATTACTAATGTTATTCGTATTGTTTACATGGTTCTAAACGTAATAAAACAAGTATGTTTTCCTTTCCAGACTAGACAAGACTGGGTGTGTGCATGTACCTTGAAGGAGAAACAAGACAGATGGTATGTTGTTTAAACATTTTTGATTATTTGTTAGAATTAATGGGAGGGAAGCGGAGGGATAGGAGGGATAGCCTAGCCCGGTTTCCATTAAACAATTTGTGAAGCTAACAGACGTGAGGGGTAGCCTAGTGGTTAAACCATTTGTCCAGGTTCAGTTACCCACATGGGTACAATGTGTGAAGCTAAGACTAATGTCCCTCAACGTGAGGGGTTGTGGTTAAACCATTTGTCACACAGAAGAGCTTTCCATTACCCACGGGTACAAGAATAATTGTCCCTCAACGTGATCTAGTTAAAATATGGCTAAAAGTGGCATAAAATCATACTCACTGATATGTCTGGGGCGATTTATTCTGGCAATATTCAACGCTTGTCCCAAGAGCATGGGTAGCTGGTGGTGGGTGGGGGTGGAGGGACTTTGAATAGTTACCTAGTTGATAGCTTCTTTTACTGTTGCAAGCCCTCCTACCACCCCTTACCCCCGGTCTGCCATTGTGTTTTTCATGTTGAGATAATATTTGATTTTGTCAATGTTTTCATGTCATATAAATTCATTCTGATTTCAGCACGAGCTGCATCAATCTTTCAGCCAAAGCCCAGTCTCTGCCTCCCAACTACTCCAATAAAAAGGTATGCCTGGACTATATCATGAACACTATCAAACAGTTTGGTCCTCTACACCTGTATTCAAGGGCATGAAGTGGCCCAGCCTAGTGGTGTTTATGGTTTTGTTATGTTTTGTGCAGCGTTCTCTTCCCTTAGCGGAGAGTGGAAGGTCGCAGGTTCGATCCCCGACCGTGTCATACCAAAAGACGTTAAAATATGGTACTTGTTGGTCCCTGCCTGGCGTTCGGCATTAATGGGTACAACAAAGACTGGTCGGCTCGGAGTCAGTATAATGTGTCTGAATGGGGTATTCATGCTTCACTGCGGCATGGTATCTCAGTGGGCTAGCACTATAAAACCAGCTTCAGTCTGGGCTAGTACAAGCAGCCGCACACACACATACACACGCATTTATGCCCATGCACGTCGTCATGTGAGCGAAATATTGTCAAGCACGACGTTAAGCCCAATTTCACCTCACCTCACCTCTTCCCTTAGCATGATTCTTGGTTTGTTGTCAGTATACATATGTTGTAGTGAGACTTCACATTATCACACACTTTCACTTTGTTCCTGGATGTCAATGTAATTACTGTTAGAAGAGGTGCTAATTCCACATGACTGTCTGGTTTATTCATTTCTGGTTATTTAAGGAGAGACATAATTAGCTAAATGTGTTTCAGATCTACAAGTAACATAGATCTAGATGGAATTGTTTATCTGCTAATTCACTATACTTTGTATTCTTTATCGAAATTTTGAAAAAGATTATGCAGATTTGATGTTGTGGCAAAACATTGTGGCACAATCTGTACAGAACTTAAGTGCCTTCATCTTTATGATGTGGTTGTCATGTGTATTTATTATTATTATTATTGTATATAAAAGACTTTTTATTTGTATGTGTCTTAAGTTTGTGTCATTGCCATACTGGATATGTTGATCATTTCAGGTTATAAGAATGTACTTAAAGGAACTAGGGGAGGCAACTCATATTGTTGTCATTGCAGCTCACTCAAATCAGAAGGTAGGTCGTTGTATGGAGAATTGAATTGTCACATTCCTTATGTTTATTTTTTTTTACAAATTCATATTTGTTAGCAAATCATATTGTAAGCAGAAGATTTGTTTGAGATGCGACATTACTATCTGATGTTTAAACCTCTGAAATAGACCTAGTGTGTAATTAAGGTTTATGTCGCGTTTTACAATATTTCAGTAATAGTATGGTGGCAGACACCCAAAATGAGCTTCACACACTGTACCCATGTGGGGCATGTAACTTGGGTCTTTGGTGTGACGAGAGAATGCTTTAACCACCAGGCCTCCCCATTGCCCCTTGAATGAGTGAGTGAGTTTAGTTTTATGCCGCACTCAGCAATAGTCCAGCTATATGGCGGTGGTCTGTAAATAATCGAGTATGGACCAGACAATCCAGTGATCAACAGCATGAGCATCGATCTGTCCAATTGGGATACGATGACATGTGTCAACCAAGTCAGCGAGCCTGACCACCTGATCACAATAGTCGCCTCTTACGACAAGCATTGCCCCTTGAAGTAGAAGCAAGATGCTTGTATATATGTATGTGTCATACTCTAAAGAACAGCACTTCAACTAGGACCATTCCATCTTAATGTCATTCCCCATGTATTCAATAGTTTTCGGTGGGCTTGAGTTGCCCAGGGGCTGCAATTCTCTGTGGGGAATTGGGATCCTAAGGCATAGCAGAAAGGAGTCTGTGTGGGTTTGAATCCAAGATTTTCTCCTTGATTGTGTTTCTTGGTTTGTCTGCACTATATCCATCTCACCCATGTACTACACACTAAATTAACCTACCTCTGTGAAAAATTCACCCTACCTCTGTGAAAATTCACCCTACCTTTGTGAAAATTCACCCACCTCTGTGAAAATTCACCCTACCTCAAAATGAAAGATACATGGATCCCAGTGTCTGAGATCGGGTGGTCAGGCTTGCTGACACTGTCATTGTATCCCAATTGTGTAAATCGATGTTCATCCCAATTGTGTTGATCACTGGATTGCCTTGTCCACACTTGATTATTAAGAGACCGCCGCCATACAGCTGGAATATAAAGCTGCAGTGTAAAAGCAACAAACTAACAAAACAGAGATATTTTTGTATTCTATTTCAAGATGTTTGATTGAAAAGTGGAGGCATTCTAATAATGAAATAAAGTAAGAATGTCTTAAGCAATCTGTTAAAAACACAGTTGGGTCAAATCTTCTACCTTGAAAAGTGATAAATTCCTTGAGAAAGACTGACTGAGTTTAGTTTTTCGCCTTTTAGCAATATTCCAGCAATATTTGGGGGACAACCAGAAATGGGCTTCACACATTGTGCCCATGTGGGGAATCGAACCCGGTCGGGGGACAAGCCCGCTTTAACCACTAGGCTAGAGGGGACAATGAGACATTGTGAGAAGAGCATGAACAGGCCTTAAATATGGTTGCACAAGTATTGAAATAGCATGCCCTCTCATGTGGTGTTACAGGTGGAAGTGGTGGTTGAGCAATACCCAATGATAGAACGCCATCTCATATTCAACCTGCCTGGAATATACTATTACTTTATCATATCCTACCCGGTCAGTGTGCTGGACATGGCGGCCATGTTGCAGATACGCAATGACTCTGTGTACTACAGTCTACATCTAACCGGACTTGACGGGCCAATGAGGGCTTACACTGCGCACATCACACCTCGCAGGTGTCGCAAACTTCATGCAGGTGAGGAGTTGGCTACTTGGGCATCTAATCTGAAACCCAAATCTTGTCAGATGTACTTAGCTGTAATGACATCATGTACATTTCAGATGCTTAAAGGCACAATGTTGTGCTTTTTCGACAATATTTTGGTCTATGATATATATATTGGGGCATATGCACTCACTGTAGCTTCCTATTGATACAATAAAAGACTTATTATCCCTTACGACTTGCCTGAAATCGATAATTGAAACTTCAAGGCGAACAGCTTCTAAACAGATAACACTTGCCATGTAATGTAAATGATTGCTCCGTACATTGAAAACTGTTGCACGCAGTGTTGTTGGTGTATGCCGAACTGGCCTCAATCACAAGTTGGATATAGGATATTCGTAAAGAGCATTCCAAGGGACATAACTCAATGGGGTTTGCTTGAAATACAGTTCGGTCAGTAGAAGGCGTGAATGTCGATTTAATGCAATGTTGCACTAAATCATTCGAACTTTTTAATTTCATATTGTAATCATAATACGTAATTTTTTTCAGAATAAATTATATTGTCTCTTCGCTGGGGGCTGATAGTTAGTATTAATGAGAGAAATGCATTACTGATTTTTAGAGAAGTGTGGCGTGATAGTGTGCCTTTAAGAACATCTGTTGTTTTCTCGCTAATGCCATGAACAACTGTAAAACATGTCACTAAGTTATATAACACAACTTACTCTGAAACACAAGCCATTATCCGAGTTGTTACAATATCTGTGTGATGCAACACACCTCATTTTAGCTTGAGCAAACACGTACAACAGCTGAAAAAACATATAATCCTCATTCTGTGTGATTAAAATATGATTCTTACAGTTTATGTTAGGCTCATTGTTTTTGTTGCTCTGGGATTGACAATGGTTATGATTGGTACAATCAATTGTGTGTATTTCAGCTGAGTATGAAGGGATTGTGTACACTCTGAATGTACCCTGGAGTAATGAAAGCACATATGGATTCAGCAAGTAAGTTGTATGTAATAAGGAGGATATCTCTTTAAAGTGGTAACGTTTCCAGTCAAACCACGATCATTGGTTTTCATTGGTCATAAAATGGGTGCAAATATTCCCTTTTAGACTTGGCATGGAGTGAGTGAGTGAGATTTCAGTTTTACACCGCACTCAGCAATATTCCAGCTATATGGCGGCGGTCTGTAAATAATCGAGTCTGGACCAGATAATCCAGTGATCAACAGCATGAGCATCGATCTGCGCAATTGGGAACCGATGACAAGTCGGCGAGCCTGACCACCCGATCCCGTTAGTCGCCTCTTATGACAAGCATGGGTTACTGAGGTTCATTCTAACTGAGACCTTCACAGTTAGAGTTGGCATGGATGGTTCTGTTGGTTTTGTGCAGAAAATAAACAGGATGCTAACAGGATTTTAACAGTATTTATCGCTGCAGTACTGTCATTGAATTTCTTTACATGATGTTTGCTGAGGTCATATACTATGTAGATAGCTTCAATTATGTTTTTGAATTTATGGGGTTTTATGTTGGCTTTTTGTGGTTGTATAGTTGTATGTGCTGAATATGTCAACAAGTGTTTAATAAATATAAATTTATAAATGCTGTTATTTCATATTTAATAAATATCAGAAAATACACAGTGTGGCCATAGAATGAAAACAATATTTATCACCATTCTTTTATGGGTCTTATATATTTTATGGGGTTATATGTCATATTAGGGATGCAGAGATACCCTCAGTCAATAATCTCTTATAATCTCTGATAAGTGCCGATAACAATGTCAAAGGTACATATAAACTTTAATGGAGGGATCATGAGACCATAACAAGTCGGAAGAATTTCAATTGAAAAGTCAATCACAATGACGCCACGAGTCCACAAGCAGGACAGGGGTCAAACGATCATGTCACAAGCTCAATAGCGGGTATGTCCACCATCGGGCATTGAGAACAGCAGTGCATGGACGGCGCATAGAGCCTATCAAACGTGCAAGGAAGGCTTGTGGGATGTCACGCCAGATTCTCTCAAGTTCTGTTGCAAGGTCAAGGATGTTATCTGGCGGATGAGGAAGGCGGCGAGACGCCGAACCATCTCGTCCCAAACATGCTCTATCGAGATCCGGGTGAATTTGCAGGCCAAGGCAGTAAGTCCAGCGTTGTGGTGTTGCAAGAAATCCATAGCAACCCTTGGCGCATGAGTGAGGGCATTGTCCTGTTGGAATGTTAACCCAGGGCCATGACGCTGCAGAAAAGGAATTATCACAGGTCGAAGAATCTGAGTCCCTGTAGCCCACACCAGTTAAGTTGCCCTGAACAATCACCAAAGGAGTTCTTTGGCGTGCTGTTATTCCATCCTCAAATCATCACGGAACCACCACCAAAGCAATTCCTCTCCAAGACACAGGCCTGTGCATAACGCTCCCACGCAGTCTATAGGCACGCTTGGCGTCCATCACTATGGGAAATGTTAAACCTGGACTCATCTGTAAAACAACATTTTCTCCACCAAAACAAGGGTCTGCGGACATGATTTCAGCACCACATTCGGCGAGCTTGTCGATGACGCTTGTGTCAGGATAGGTTCGTATGGGCGGGACGTCGTGGTCTGATCGTGATGACGTGAAACGCTTGTCGAACTGTGTTAGTGGATAATGGGCGGAAGTCCTGGGATGGTTCGGGCAGTCATCACCTGCAGTCTGAAATCTGTAAGTAGATGGGTCACCCTTATCCATCTGTCCTGTCTTGGCGTTGTTACACGCTGATGTCAGAACGTGGCCGCATCGATGACGCCATTTGTGTTCTGGTAGCGCCCTCACAAGTGCAGAAATGGTGTTCCTGTGGCAGTGGAAATGTGCAGCCACTTGTCGCTGAGACATTCCCCACGGATCCTCCGATGGCCTCATGACGCTGAGCAGACATGAGCCTTGGCATGCTATGCGCGCTTCAATAGCCGCTATATATATTCAGCAAAAAAAAGGAAACACTGAAATAGAATAATCGGAAATATCTGACAGAAAAAGGATCAACATTGGACCTACCCAGATCAACCCTTTCAGCCCAGACAGTGAGAAACCGCTTGTGTGTATTTATGCAGATGACCAGTGCAAGGCGTGGATTCTGACTGATCAGCATTATCGGGTTGAGAGGTCAACAGTGTCGTGTCAAGGACACTGAGTATGGCCACAATGGAGATGTGTTTTAGTAGTATATACAATGGGGATCCGGCCAATCCCCCTCATTGTGTCCTTTCTATCTATTTGGCTCCCATCACTTGTACAGTGACAAATCTCATCTTTTTGCTTTTCTGTACAATTTGAAGACATATTTACTTGAAACGGCATGCAGGAAGTGGACAGGTTTGGTGGTAGGAGTGTAATGATTGTAATGATGTGGGCTGCCATCTCCCATATGGGTATAGCAGACTTGGTACACATCCAGGGCAGTTTAATGGCACAATGTTACATAGATGAAATTCTTCGGCCACATGTCCATCCAATTAAGGAACAAGCAAATGTCATTTTTCAACAACGCCCGACCTCACACAGCAAGACTGACAACCTTTTTGAGGAACCACAACATCCAAGTATTTCATTGTCCCTCAAGGTCTCCAGATCTAAACCCCATCAAACAGTAAGAGATGAATGTCTGTGATGACGTCAGCAACAGCCACAGAACCTCCAACAGTTGTCACTGCAGGAAGAGTGGGTGAACATTCCTTGTCCTCAATTCGTAGTCTCTTTGATTCAGTGGTGATGCCAGGCAGCTCTGGACTCTCGCTCTCATGGGGCCAAACAAGATATCAAGGATAGATGACCTTCACCTTGACATTTGATTGTTTCATGTGTGCAGTGATGAACCTCACTCAATGACTTGTGCCAGATTTGAACAATTTATTATGATCTTATGTATGTATACATTAAGTATACATCTGAAAACCACTTTTGCATTTCTTATTTTTGCAGAGTATATGTCGATTTGATGTAGATAGGGTACAGTTTTAGGGTGTGTTAGAAACAGATTACTGCACTTGTGCCTGGCAGATAATATTTATGTTGCAACTTCTTTTATGAAACATATCTAACTGGTTTCCATTCATTAGATATGATTTGAAACAACTTTGTTAAGATAAATAGTATCTGACAGACAATCGGTAATTTCTGTGTATCAAGAAGGTTTAAACATGTGCTGCAACTTATGATCGGTATTCAGGTTCCGAGAGACTGGACAATTCCCAGTGAAGGTGCAGAGCGGCAAGCCGCGGGATGCTGAGGATGAGGCAGTTCATCTGGAGATGTTCCTCCATCCATCCTGCTCATACCACCTGAAGCTGACCACGTCACCTGTACATGTCATGGGGCAGGTAGGTGTCACACTAGTCCCAGCTGCTCTGATGGTTGCCGTAGGGCACCTTCATAGTGATTGTTGTGTCAGGGTGCCGTGATGGTTTCATCCAGATGCCATGGCACTGGGACTCTGTTGCATGATATGAATGGAACTTAGGGCTTTGAAAGCACTCATTGTCAGCTACTCTGGTGAAGGTGAGACATAGTGGGTGAAGCAGTTGTAAAATCTCACTGTTGTCTTGGTTATGGTGAGGTGAGGTGAAATTGGGTTTAACGTCTTGCTTGAGAATATTTCGCTCATATGACGACGTGCATGCGTGTGTATGTGTATGTGCAGCTGCTTGTACTAGCCCAGACTGAAGCTGGTTTTATAGTGCTAGCTCACTGAGATACCATGCCGCAGTGAAGCATGAATACCCCACTCAGACACATTATACTGACTCCGAGCCGACCAGTCCTTGATGTACCCATTAATGCCGAGCGCCAGGCAGGGACCAACAAGTACCATATTTTAACGTCTTTTTGACCTTCCGCTCTCCGGGCGGACGCTCTAACCACTACACCACGGAGGCGGTCTGTATATTGTATGTTTCTGTGCAAGGAAGTTACTGCTTAACGTCTCACTAGATTGCTCAAGAGCTGACTGTGTAGTTTGTATATAGTAAGCTCATAAAACATGTCATTAAAAACATCTTATTAATTCTTGTCTTGCATTCAAAACAGTCAAACCTTGTTAATCCAGCCAGTTTCATCCCAAAGAAATCATTCATTGTCAAATTTCAGGATTTGTGAATCAGGTTTACAGACTATGATCCTGTTTGCAGCATGTAAGCTTTCCAGCCATATTATTTGATAATTCTAGGTGCCCAGATTCACAGGGTCCAGATTAACAAGGTTTCATTGTGTACATTCAATGTTGCCAGATAATGCATCAGAAATGTAGAGCTATTTCGCTCACATTTTAGTGAGTGAGTAGGCTTTTTACTCTACTGGGGCGGTGGGGTAGCCTAATGGTTAAAGCGTTGGCTCGTCACGCCGAAGACCCGGGTTCGAATCCCCACATGGGCACAATGTGTGAAGCCCATTTCTGGTGTCCCCCGTCGTGATGTTGCTAGAATAGTGCTAAAAGCGTCGTAAAACCAAACTCAGTCAGTCAGTTTTACGCTACTTTTAGCAGTATCTAAGCATTATCATAGCAGGGGACACTAGAAAAGGGCTTCACATACTGTATCCAAGGAGGGAATTGGACCCTGGTGTTCGGTGACTACTTTAACCACTAGACTGTCCCACTGCTCCTGCTTATGGTCTACAACCTTCTGACCGGTTGACATGTTCAGTCCTCTCACTGAAGACATATGTACAAACCTGCACTTACATCCATTGTGTGAAGTCAGTTATTAATGAACACCAACATCATATGGCAAGTGTGTAGATAAATCAACATAACATCTCAGTCACATTAAAATGCTACATGCAAGAACATGCAGCAATCACTACATGTACTTTAGGTTAGGCCAGTCCTCCCTGGTCATCCCTGTAAGATTCCTTCAGTCTGCCACTGTGAGCATACCCCCTCACATCAAGGCCAACACTTTATCCTGTCAGTTTCATTAAGACATTAAGGAGTTTTGATACTAGCCAGATGTCCATAATCAAGTCTTTGTCCTTTATGTCGTTTTAAGATACAATAAACAGATACTTGGCAAGAAAGAAAAGAAGACTGTAAATTGTTGTTTGCGTGTTTTGTGAAATTGTAAACAAATGTGATAACAGATTAATGTCTTGAAATGCTTTTTTTTCCAAGTTTTGATCTTAAAATACAAAATGAGAAGAGTAATTAATGAACTTTAGAAATAAAATTATAAGAGCATTTGACTTCATATACATTTTGTTATTGTTATTTTTTCAATAATCCTCACCAAAATGCCCTTTTAGATTATGAAGTGCCCTTTTCTTTGAAGTTACCCTGCCCTTTCTGAATCCTAGAGGAAACATTAACCCCCATATGAGTAGAAGCCCACTTGGTGTCCCTGTTGGCACTGGAATATTGTTATAATGTGACTTCATCAGTCTGAGGTTGATAGGATAACAAAATGTCATATAGAATTCCTTTGAAAACATTTTTGAAAGATAATGAGTTTTCCAAAGAAACTTTGACAGTATGTTGTTGCCATGGCTGCACAGCATGGCTGCAGGTTTTTAACTCGATTTGGGACAGTTGGTTTTCCATTCCTGCAAAACCTAAAAATGAATTGTCCAGCCATCATTTAGCATCATTATATCATTTCTGCTGTGGGGGATTCTTTGCACCACCAATAGGAAGCCTTCTACACCAATGGGATCTATGGACTCCAGCACTCTTGGCAGAAGTGTGTGGAGATTGTAGGTGGAAATGTTGAAACAATAATTCATCAGACCTTCCATCAGAGCAGTTCATAGTAGTTTGGCTCTCAACTTTTCTGCCACCTCTTGAAGATGCATGATAGACCCAGTTTTGTATCTGACTCAGGAAGAGACTGGGTTCAGTTCTGCATTTTCTCAGTTTTCTCTGGCAGATCCATGGCAGACCAGGATGAGACTTGAGTAAGACATTCACTCAAAAGAGAATGGAACCAGTTTAGCTTTTCTGTGGATGTTCCTACGACAGACCAGGTTAATATTTGACAGGAATGGTCACTCAGAAGAGACTGAAACCAGTCTAGCTCTTCTCTAGATGTTCCCATGACAGACCAGGTTGATATTTGGCTGAGAACCTAATTTTCTCTAATTCCAAGAGCCCAAGTTCAGTGTAGTGACTCCCAAGAGGTTAGGTCATGTGCCGTCTGCAAGTGGTCACCTGGAGACTAATCCGCACCTACCATGTTTCAAGCGGACAGCATCAGCTAATGACCAACTGGAAGATGATGCTTGTAACATTATCCAGCTGAAACTCAATTGTCTTCAAATTGGACAGGATTGTTCTTTGATGGTACACGAGGTGGACACTCAGCCCTAATTGTCTAACTTGATACAGTTTCAGCTCCAATGACTGGTTGTGTGTCTGAGGAGTGATATGATTGTTCCAGCATGTCTGAAAGGAATGAAGTCTCCAGATCAACTTATCCTCATCCATCTGTGCCTTGTAACATGTTTATGTTCATGTCTGGTTTGTTTCAGTACTGTTGCTTGCATGGCACTCAAATACTTGTTTTTTCTTGTGTGTTGTTCAATGCTGCACTCAGCGAAAACCTAGTTGTATGGCTGCATGGTGTTAAACCTCACAGCACTCACTCACCTTCGTGTTAAACTTCAAAACATTCACTGTAGTGATAAACCTCACAACTCTCACTCACTGTAGCATTAAACCTCACAACCCTCACTAACTGTAGTGATAAACCTCACAACCCTCACTCACTGTAGCATTAAACCTCACAACCCTCACTCACCATAGTGTAAACCTCACAACCCTCACTCACTGTAGCATTAAACCTCACAACCCTCACTCACTGTAGCATTAAACCTCACAACCCTCACTCACCATAGTGTAAACCTCACAACCCTCACTCACTGTAGCATTAAACCTCACAACCCTCACTCACTGTAGCATTAAAACCCCCTCACAACCCTCACTCATCATAGTGTGTGTAAACCTCACAACCCTCACTCACTGTGTAGCATTAAAAACCTCACAACCCTCACTCACTGTAGCATTAAACCTCACAACCCTCACTCACTGTAGCATTAAACCTCACAACCCTCACTCACTGTAGCATTAAACCTCACAACCCTCATTCACTGTAGTGATGAACCTCACAACCCTCACTCACTGTAGTGATGAACCTCACAACACCTCACTAACTGTAGTGATAAACCTCACAACCCTCACTCACTGTAGATTAACCCTCACAAACCTCACAACATTAAACCTCACAACCCTCACTGTAACATTAAACCCTCACAACCCTCACTCACTGTAGTGATGAACCTCACAACCCTCACTCACTGTAGTGATAAACCTCACAACCCTCACTCACTGTAGTGATGAACCTCACAACCCTCACTCACTGTAGTGATGAACCTCACAACCCTCACTCACTGTAGTGATGAACCTCACAACCCTCACTCACTGTAGCATTAAACCTCACAACCCTCACTCACTGTAGTGATGAACCTCACAACCCTCACTCACTGTAGTGGGATGAACCTCACAACCCTCACTCACTGTAGTGATGAACCTCACAAACCTTCATTCACTGTAGTGATGAACCTCACAACCCTCACTCACTGTAGTGATGAACCTCACAACCCTCACTCACTGTAGTGATGAAACCTCACAACCCTCACTCACTGTAGTGATGAACCTCACAACCCTCACTCACTGTAGTGATGAACCTCACAACCCCTCACTCACTCACTCACTGTAGTGATGAAACAACCCTCACTCACTGTAGTGATAAACCTCACAACCCTCACTCACTGTAGTGATGAACCTCACAACCCTCACTCACTGTAGTGATAAACCTCACAACCCTCACTCACTGTAGTGATGAACCTCACAACCCTCACTCACTGTAGTGATGAAACCAACCACAACCCTCACTCACTGTAGTGATAAACCTCACAACCCTCACTCACTGTAGTGATGAACCTCACAACCCTACTCACTGTAGTGATGAACCTCACACAAACTCACTGTAGTGATGAACCTCTCACCCTCTCACTGTAGTGATGAACCTCACAACCCTCACTCACTGTAGTGATGAACCTCACAACCCTCACTCACTGTAGTGATGAACCTCACAACCCTCACTCACTGTAGTGATGAACCTCACAACCCTCACTCACTGTAGTGATGAACCTCACAACCCTCACTCACTGTAGTGATGAAACCTCACAACCCCTCACCCCTCACTCACTGTAGTGATGAACCTCACAACCCTCACTCACTGTAGTGATTAAACCTCACAACCCTCACTCACTGTAGTGATGAACCTCACAACCCTCACTCACTGTAGTGATGAAACCTCACAACCCTCAC